TCAGTTGCCACCCAGGGCCGCCAGGTGCCACCCAGGGCCGTCAGTTGCCACCCAGGGCCGCCGGGTGCCACCCAGGGCCGTCGGTTGCCACCCAGGGCCGTCGGTTGCCACCCAGGGCCGCCGGGTGCCACCCGGGGCCGCCAGGTGCCACCCAGGGCCGTCGGTTGCCACCCAGGGCCGTCGGTTGCCACCCAGGGCCGCCGGGTGCCACCCAGGGCCGCCGGTTGCCACCCAGGGCCGCCGGTTGCCACCCAGGGCCGCCGATTGCCACCCAGGGCCGCCGGGTGCCACCCAGGGCCGCCAAGTGCCACCCAGGGCCGCCGGGTGCCACCCAGGGCCGCCGGGTGCCACCCAGGGCCGCCGGGTGCCACCCAGGGCCGCCGAGTGCCACCCAGGGCCGCCAATTGCCACCCAGGGCCGCCGGGTGCCACCCAGGGCCGTCGGTTGCCACCCAGGGCCGTCGGTTGCCACCCAGGGCCGCCGGGTGCCACCCGGGGCCGCCAGGTGCCACCCAGGGCCGTCGGTTGCCACCCAGGGCCGTCGGTTGCCACCCAGGGCCGCCGGGTGCCACCCAGGGCCGCCGGTTGCCACCCAGGGCCGCCGGTTGCCACCCAGGGCCGCCGATTGCCACCCAGGGCCGCCGGGTGCCACCCAGGGCCGCCCATTGCCACCCAGGGCCGCCGGGTGCCACCCAGGGCCGCCGGGTGCCACCCAGGGCCGCCGGGTGCCACCCAGGGCCGCCGGGTGCCACCCAGGGCCGCCAATTGCCACCCAGGGCCGCCGGGTGCCACCCAGGGCCGCCGGGTGCCACCCAGGGCCGTCGGTTGCCACCCAGGGCCGCCGGGTGCCACCCAGGGCCGCCGGGTGCCACCCAGGGCCGTCAGTTGCCACCCAGGGCCGCCGGGTGCCACCCAGGGCCGTCGGTTGCCACCCAGGGCCGTCGGTTGCCACCCAGGGCCGTCGGTTGCCACTCATGGTAGATCACACAACTGAACCCAATTCCTCCACAAGAGGCAACAATATTCCAGAAGAAGTCAGAATATCCCACAAGAAACATCAATTCCCCTTTAAGAGGCCACAATACCCCCACAAGAGGTCAGAATTCCCCCACAAATGACACCAATACCCCCACATGAGGCTACAATACCCCACATGAGGCTACAATACCCCACAAGAGGCCACAATACCCTAGAATAGGCCATAAGATCCTACAAGAGGCCACACAAGAGGTCAGAGAAACAGGAGCCCAGCAAGGCACACAGCGTGGCTCCAAGCGTGAAGACTGTCTCATCACTCTATTCCAAGCTTTAAAGGTTGGCCTATAAACATCAGCAGCGACTCTAAGCCTGGTGCCCTTAACCACATTCTTCCTGGTGTGGCCAGCCACGGCGGGGACTGTGGCCATGGAAGTGTAGGTGGCCACAAGAGTAGTGTGGCCAGCCACGGCGGAGACTGTGGCCATGGAAGTGTAGGTGGCCACAAGTGTAGTGTGGCCAGCCACGAGAATGTGGCCATAACATTGGTGGAGGTGAATCAGGAGGTAGAGGCGGGACAGACCTGTGCTGGGACATCCCAGATCGCAACAGGGAGTGCCCTGGGATGTCTCGGGTCACAGCTGGAGTAGAGTCTGGCGTATGGATGGTTCCTCCACCCGTGGCGGAGTTATGGTGTGGAGCGTCAGACCATTCAAACACATGCGTTTGAAATAAATTATATATACATATAATGTGTAACCGAGTATGTATACATGAAATACTTTATTTAGCTTTGTATTCTGGAGGGAGGCTTGCTAGCAAACGGGGATTAATATAACTCCAATGAGTTCATTTTTGCCATAAAAGGCCGGCAAAAGGGGACCTCTATCACTTTTTTAGTCTTTTGTATAAGTATTTCATCGGATTCTCTTCCATGAGTGTCGAGAATTGCTTTTCAGTATCCTAGAAAGTTTGACAGTTTCTCCCCGTCTGTCTTGTGGTCTCTGGCGTTACCTGGGCAGAGGTGGGGCTGGGTATCATTCCTGGGGAGGGGGATGTGGGTGGTTATCTTATTAGGGGAGGGAGAGGGGTTGGACATCATACCAGGGAATGGGGAGGGGCGGGATATCATTCCAGGGGAGGGGCTGTATATCATACCAGGGAAGGGAGAGGGGCTGGATATTATACCAGGGGAGGGGCTGGATATCATACCAGGGAAAAGGGAGGGGCTGGATATCATACCAGGGGAGGGGGAGGGGCTGGATATCATACCAGAGAAGGGGGAGGGGCTGGATATCATACCAGGGAAGGGGAAGGGGCTGGATATCATACCAGGGAAGAGAGAGGGGGCTGGATATCATACCATGGGAGGGGGAGGGGCTGGATATCATACCAGGGGAGGGGGAGGGGCTGGATATCATACCAGGAGAGGGGGAGGGGCTGGATATCATACCAGGGAAGAGAGAGGGGGCTGGATATCATACCAGGGGAGGGGAAGGGGCTGGATATTATACCAGGGGAGGGGGAGGGGCTGGATATCATACCAGGGGAGGGGGAGGGGCTGGATATCATACCAGGAGAGGGGGAGGGGCTGGATATCATACCAGGAGAGGGGGAGGGGCTGGATATCATACCAGGGGTGGGGGAGGGGTCTGAGATGACACCTGGAAGTGAAGCAGGTGGGACTCCTAGGGGATTTACCCCACTAGCGGGGCCAGGAAGGCTGCAAGGCTTTTCAAGATCCGTCAAGTGTAGGGTGAGACTGTACGCGCGGTCACCCATCAAGTTACTGGCTTGAGCGCGCGGTGCATAACTTGACCGACCGCTTGGAGCAAACATCCTCCACTGTGCAGAGCTCCGCTGCAAATACCTCAAGTGATGAGGCGAATCGCAATGTCATATTTTGCTTAGGGTTAATTCAGACGTGGAGGTGAGCTTATGGCTCCTGGACAAGGCTTCTACAAGGTGCTGGTCTGCGTGAAGACGTTGAAGGTTTACTGCTAGACCTTTATGTTAGCCGAAAGTCTTATTCGTGATGATTATTTCACCTTGTTTCGCGTGATCTGATCGGTATAGCGACGGACTCGCTTATTGCAGGGGTTGGCGTTCGATCCCCGAAGGTACAGACAGGTGGTTCGGCACCATTATTTCCCTCCGTCCTGCACCATCAGCTCCTTGTCCTCAAATCCCTTCTGAGTGCTATAAGTGCTAAGTGCTAGTCTCTGTATCAACCTACCTTTAGAGGCCTGGTCGACGACCGGGCCGCGGGAACGCTAAGCCCCGGAAACACCTCAAGGCAAGGTAACCCTGGTTTTGCGCCCTAGAGAGGCCACTCCAGACCGACAACCAGAGCGCAACTCCATAGTCTCCTGACACTGATGGATGTCTACTATTACATCCTCAGCGCTTTTCCTGGTAGTTACGTCACCTCACGAAGGCGCAGATCTCCGCATACAGCGCCTCAATCCACAAAGATCGTAGAAAGACATGGTCAAAATCTATAAACAGGCTGTACTAACGTCATGCCATAAAAATCTATAACAGGGCGATTAACAGTCATACCTCAAGATTTATTGAAAACAAAGACAAATACAACCACCCAGGTCAACATAGATTTAAAGCAGAAAATATCATGTCATTTGTAATTACTTAATCACTAACATGATCACCAAAGCACTTGGATAATACTAAAATGCAGATGTTGTATGCATAGACTTTCCAAAGGTATCTGATCAATGTGTCAATGACTCGATTGCAAATTAAATGAGATCCGATAGTTAAATAGTTCGACTAATATACCACAAAGAATAACAGAGAACCCAACAATATATAGTGGGATCACTGTGTAAAGCTCTGTACCGCAAGGCACAGTCTTGGCACCTCGACTCTCATCCTTATAATAACAGACAGACGCACATCTTCGTGTCAGCTTTCCAGACGATACCAAATTCAGCGAAAAACTACAAAGGGATAACAACCAAATCTTCATAACCTGCAGATTTTTTATATAAAAAGAGACTAAGAATTTAAACCGCATACAGAAAGAAATAAAATCAGATTTCCTGTAATCAGAGTTCCCATATATCTACATGTATATGAGGCAGCCAGCGTCCGTGATGGCAAGGTGGTCCTCTTATTAAGATTGTTGATAACGTTGAGAGCTTATTTACAAACTCTGGGGTTGAAGTTTAAGCTGATAAAGCTGTGTTGGTGTTATCGCGGACGCTTGACTGCCTTTACCTATGACATCACGTTAGTCTTTCCCTCAGAGCAGCGAGCTTCATCGGTCTCACGCTCAAACAGCTTATGCACGACGCACACACCAGGTCACGATGTCACGATGCGTCGTGACCTTAAGACAGCCGTAATATCGCATCCTGCTGTACAATAGCCGGATGAATCCCGCGTCGTTCCACACTTCCAGGCCAGTTCGTGTCCGTTCGGTCAACCCGAGAGTCACTCCACACTTTCTTGCCAGTTCGTGTGCGTCCAGTTAATCCCAGAGTCGCTCCACACTTCCAGAAGGATAGACTTCACCGTCCCAAGCCGACCAAAGCTCCGTGCAAGTGGCGTTGGAGGAGACGGCTGACTGCGATCAGAGAACGCGCGCTGGAGCTACATTAATATCACCGTCACACAAAAGGCTTTCAGACCCCCGTGGTGGCTCCAATAAAATTGTTGGCGACAACTTGACAACTTGGCACAGTGACTGAGGGTACGTACCCTGCCTCCTAGTCCTCTCATCCCCCCCCCCCCCCATGCCCTAGGATGGTCCTCAGAGACGGAGAGGAAGGACAAGACGGGGAAAATGGGGGAAGGGAGGTCGCCCCCCATCCAACGAAAGTTTTTCATTCAACTTTCCTCCGTCGATGAAGTACATTTTACGAAAAGGCAGTATTTCTAAAAAAAAAAAAAAAAAATTGGCATTTTTTGGTAATACTTTTACCAAAGAAATAAAACCGTCCGTTTGGTGTGCGTGCAACGTTCGCAAATTCGTTGCTGGAATATTAGAGCCACATGGACGTCCCTGCAAGATGAGAGCCACATGGACGTCCCTGCAAGATGAGAGCCACATGGACGTCCCTGCAAGATGAGAGCCACATGGACGTCCCTGCAAGACGAGAGCCACATGGACGTCCCTGCAAGATGAGAGCCACATGGACGTCCCTGCAAGATGAGAGCCACATGGACGTCCCTGCAAGATGAGAGCCACATGGACGTCCCTGCAAGATGAGAGCCACATGGACGTCCCTGCAAGATGAGAGCCACATGGACGTCCCTGCAAGATGACAGCCACATGGACGTCCCTGCAAGATGAGAGCCACATGGACGTCCCTGCAAGACGAGAGCCACATGGACGTCCCTGCAAGACGAGAGCCACATGGACGTCCCTGCAAGACGAGAGCCACAAGGACGTCCTTGCAAGATGAGAGCCACAAGGACGTCCCTGCAAGATGAGAGCCACATGGACGTCCCTGCAAGATGATTGCCACATGGATGTCCCTGCAAGATGAGAGCCACATGGACGTCCCTGCAAGATGAGAGCCACATGGACGTCCCTGCAAGATGAGAGCCACATGGACGTCCCTGCAAGATGAGAGCCACAAGGACGTCCCTGCAAGACGAGAGCCACAAGGACGTCCCTGCAAGACGAGAGCCACAAGGACGTCCCTGCAAGACGAGAGCCACAAGGACGTCCCTGCAAGACGAGAGCCACATGGACGTCCCTGCAAGATGAGAGCCACATGGACGTCCCTGCAAGATGAGAGCCACATGGACGTCCCTGCAAGATGAGAGCCACATGGACGTCCCTGCAAGATGAGAGCCACATGGACGTCCCTGCAAGATGAGAGCCACAAGGACGTCCCTGCAAGACGAGAGCCACAAGGACGTCCCTGCAAGACGAGAGCCACAAGGACGTCCCTGCAAGACGAGAGCCACAAGGACGTCCCTGCAAGACGAGAGCCACATGAACGTCCCTGCAAGATGAGAGCCACAAGG